CTATAGTTGATCTGAGTTTGTTATTAATGGCTGGTCACATGGCCTTTGGCAGGCCAAGCGGTAACACTGGCTTCCAGGAGAGAGGATGTTTTGGAAAATGATAATGTATGTGACTATCTGTTCCAGTCCATCATGTGTTGGCAGAACCTCCCATCCTACTGTCTGTTTCCTTTGGTTTGGTTTAACCTATTTTTTAGTATCATCAGTTTACGTTTTTTCCTAGACTTTGGGAAGGGAGTTTCATTTTTTGCTTAAGATCATATGAGATTTTATTGCAAAACCTCAGACCATATTTAATTTGATTGTTCTGAACTATGCCATTGACTCTGAGTTCCAGGGATCTCATTAAATGTTGCATCTTGGTCCAAAATTTTTCTCAAAGTAAATAGACTATTTTTTAGGTTCCAAATTGCTATGCCCAAGTAGATAGGTCTTTATGAGAAGGCTACTATTTAGAGTTCCTTTTGTTAATTCTAAAACTTCTGTTAGTCAGATAAACAGTCTTTCAGTACAGAATTTCTAACAGCCAACAGAATAACATCTGTGGCTAAAGGATAGAAACTGCGATATTTATAAGGGCTTAGAAAAATTTCCTCTTCCTTGCTGTCAAGGATCATCAAAGACACGAAGAAGACTCCTTGAAAACAACATTGGATTGATCATCTGCCCAATTTTTGCTCACCAACTTAATGTCAACCTGTACTACAACAATCAGCCTGACAGAATGGTACAAGCCCCATCACCTGGAGCTAACTATCAGGTTCCAGAAACAATTTATTTCTCCACTAGTGCCATCTTGCATTTGGAAGTTATATGTTAGTAACAGCATCTCCTGTCCTCAGTCACTTTGAGATGGTATAATCACATGTGCAGTCACCTTCAGTATTATGAGAATTAAGAGGGAGCATTACAGGCCTAGCAGTGACTATAATACTTGGGCAAGTTTCCTTATCCCTGTGGAAAAATAGGTTCTCAACTGTCATGTTACCTATCACCTAAGGTAGTTAACAAAGATTTGGAATAATTATTATGTGATATATATGCGCATGTGGGATGTCTCAGCCAAAGCCAGCCATTTACACAATTAAACAGTTATTCCTAATGAATCAGTGGAGTAAAACTACAAGATGCCCATTGGAACAAAGTGATGGTGTCATTAAAAGGTGATTCTTAAGGAAGCTTCAAGACTGGGCTTGATCTAGTAAGGCTACCCCAGACACTATACTATTCTTAGAATAACTCAGAATCATTGAGATCTGGTTTTACCTAGCTTCCACACTGGATTCATATCTAAGAACCGCAGAGAGATGGAGGGAGAGAATTTAAAACAAATGCTAAATGACAATAGAATACAAGTTTTTGTGTTGGTGGCTCATACACCTTCTAGAGAATAATTGTGTCCCATGCCTGAAACACAAGTACATTTTATCTACCAAAGAACCACAGTGCTCAGATGAAGTAGACTACTTGTGAGCGTACCTGAGGAACTCTGAGGACTGCCCAAATTACCTGTCAGAAAATTTGGATAGGACAAGGTCTTGTATTAGGGAGGCAAGAGCATTGGCCAGTAAAATGCAGTTTATCACTATTTAATGTGATGTCATTTGTATTCATCAGATAAAATCCTGAAGTTCTGTTACAAGAATAATACATGTAATGCTTTAGACATAATCATATTTAAATGACATTTTCCATTAATTATTGTAATGTGTGTTTTATGCATTAACTGGAAATATTTCCTTTTGTTATAGAATACAAGGAAAAAATAGGATGAATAAAACTTAAAATCCACGTTAAACATAGACAATGAGTAAGTTAGTTGTTTGTAAGACAGAAGTGAAACGCACCAAATGTATAGGTATAATAATGAATAAGCAAGTGGCTTTTAAGACATAGTCAGAAGTCCTTACATGAATTAACATAGATAAGCCAGACATTAATTTATGGGACATGGACCTAAAGAAACAGGGATTGAAGTACCAAAAGACACCTAATACTTATGATATAATAATACATTTGACATATTGAGGACTCAACATTTCTGACGTCTTATGCCAATGACCCAGGTGGACACACATTCTGGCCAAAAGTACAAATAAAATTGATAGCATCTCATCAAACATCTTAATTTAGCCTGTGAGTGTCTCTGGAGTAGCTTGAAGACTACCATTGTATTAAGGTAATTTCTCACATGACAGTTAAGTTTGCTGATATGCTTATATATCTATGAAAAAGGATATAAGTAGCGAACTAGAGAATAAACTACAAGCAGCAAAAATCGCACATGATCCTTTGGAGTTGGTAAAGGAAAATGTGTATTGATTACCAAGGTAAAATCAGATGTATGCTTGTTTTAATAAACATTGTTGGTTTGTGCCAGTAGAAAACAACTGGGAAAAGCCTGACGACAATTCTCTAGGATTTCTATCTGGTTTTAGAAAAGGTTAGTACAAATCTTCTAATTCTCTCTCCTATTCACTCACTTCCCTCAGTCCAAGGCAAGCATTATTATGTCTTAAAAGCAGTACCTTAGATGTATTCAATGTTACATTAGAGCAATCCAACTGAATATTAGAATAGATAATAAATATAAAATATAAACATTATGCATATTTAAATAAAATTATTCCATTTACTTGAATTTATCATTTTTATAATATGTGTGCCTGGCTTCTTGCACTTAGTATGATATTTTCAAGGTTCATTGATATTGCAACATATATATCAGTAATCCATTCCCATTCTGTTATTATGTAATAATAATATGTTCATATTCAGTTTATAGCAGTACTAGTAACAGAAGCCAACAGTGGAAACAACCAAAATGTCTATCAAAAAAGAATGAATAAACAAATTGTGGTATATATTATCTGTATAATCTTCTGCCATTATTATTATGTTATGTTATGATATAACATATTATATTCTTACTATTGTTATAGCTAATAAACACATTTTCATGTTCTTACTCACCATTTGTATATCTTCTTTAAAAAAAAAAAAGCAGAGAGTCTTGCTCTGATGCCAAGGGAAGAATGCAGTGGTACGAGCACAGCTAAGTGCAATATTGAACTCCTGGGCTTAAGTGATCCTTTCACCTCAGCCTCTTGAGAATTGGGACTACAGGTGCAGTCCACCACTCCCAGGTAAGCCATTTGTGCATCTTCTTTAAAGAAGTCTCTATTCAAGTCCTTTGCATATTTTTTATTTGGGTTGTATTATGGTCTGAATGTTAGCATGCCCCTAAAATTCACATGTTGGAACCTAATATCCAATAATACTAAGAAGTAAAGTATTTTGAAAAACAAAGTATGAGAGTGCTGCCCTCATGAACGTGACTAGTGACCTTAGAAAAATGATTTGAGGGAGCTGCCTTGCTGATTCTACCATGTGACGATATACAAAAGGTGCCATCCATGAGAAATGGTCCCTCACCAGACACTGAAACTACTGGCACCTTGATCTTGAATCAAGAGCTGTGAGAAACAAATTCCCATTGTTTATAAATTACTCAGTCTAAGGTATTTGGTTATAGTAGCCCCAGCAGACTAAGACAGGTTGCTTATAGTTTTGTTTTTGTAATAGAAGAGCTCTTTATAGATACTCTACATACTAGACCTTATCAGACATACAATTTATAATGCTTTTTTCGATTTTAGGTTGTTCTTTTTTTTTTTTTTACTTTCTTAATAATGTTCTTTGATGCATGAAGTTTCTAATTTAAAATAAGTTTCAACTTATCTATTTTTTCCCTCTGTTGCTTTGTATCATTTATAAGAACAGACTGCCAAATCCAACGTCATGACAATGTATTCCTCCTAAGTTTTTCTCTTAAGAGTTTTACAGTTTCAGCTCTTATATTTAGGTTCTTGATCCATTTTGAATTAATTTTTACATATGATCTGAGGAGGGATCTAATTTTATTGTTTTACATGTAGTTACCCAGTTGCCCCAGCACCATTTGTTGAAGAACTATTTTTTCCCCACTAAATGGTCTTCATGCCATTATCAATTTATCACAGATATATTGGTTTATTTCTAGACTCTCAATTCTATCCCATTTGTCCTTAGATCTATCTTTATGCCAGTACTACACTGTCATGATTACTGTAGCTTTGTTGTAAGTTTTTAAATTAAGTGTAATTATTCCAGCTTTGTAATTTTTCAATGTTGTCTTCTATTGCATCCAAAAGGAGAAAATGCACAGGTATAAATTTAACCAATCAGGTAGGATACTTGCAAACTGAATGCTACAAAACACTGTTGAAGGAAATGAAAGAATACAAAGAATACCTAAATAAGTAGAAAAGCATTCCTTGTTCTATATTGAGGAAGACTTACTATTGTTGATGGTAATAATAAAAATCCTATTCAGGATTTCTTGAAATTACACATGAATTTGAAAATTAGCTTTTCTATTTTTGTAAAAAATACCATTGGAAATTATACAGAGATTGACTGAAATTTGTAGATAGCTCTTATTATTATTGCCATCAACAATAGTAAGTCTTCTAATATAGAACAAGGGGTGCCTTTCTATTTATTTATATATTCTTTCATTTCTTTCAGCAATGTTTTACAGTTTTCAGTGTGCAAGTATCCTATCTCATTGGTTAAATTTATACTGTAATTTGTCTTCCTTTGGATGCTATTATAAATAATTTTTTGAGTAGAAATATGAAATTTTATTTTTTCTCCATAGTTTATGTATCGTTCTGTGGGGCTTACACATAACAACACATTCTTGGGCTGATACTATCATGGATTTTGCTTAAATTCTGAGGGCAGTAAAAATTTTAAATCCCACAGGTCAAAACTGAATCACATTAACTGACTGATGTAGTAAATGAGGGGCAATTCTAAAATGCAAAATAAAAATGGAATTAAGGCAGCTTTAAAAGAAAATAAAACTCATCCACCCAAAATAGTGCTACATAATCCATTCCTTAAAAAGCTGTGTGTATAGACATAAAAGCCAAAAATAAAAATAAACACTGCAGTTGTGATGCAGCATCAGGTGCTTTTACTTCAGTGAATGAAAAATAATGGTCACAACTCAAATGAATGGGAATTTAATGTGAATATATGCACCTTACCAGAGATGTTTGCTATCAATGACATCTTAGCAATTCCATATTCCTCACATTCAGTATAATTGTTGTAAAAATATCAACTGTGGTTCTGAATATCCATTCACAGTTGACCTCATCAATGTATCTGATGTAGGAGACTGAGTATCTGTGACAGGCAGAAGCACGTGATGGTCCTCAGTCCCAAGTGGAAGAGCTAATGGTAAAGTCATGTCAGAAGGTTTCACATCCATAGTTTCTGATAAAGGACTCTTTTGTATGGAATCTTGTTCACTCAAAGCATGGTCCTCTACACTGGAGTCTAGAGTTTTATCTGCACCAGAATGGACTTTTGTTTTGTGCTTCTTTAAATTTTTAATATCAGTGTAAGAATTACCACATAATTCGCAGACAAATGGTCTTTCTCCTGTATGGGATCTAAAGTGTTTGTTGAGCTCTCCAGAGAAAAGAAAACTTTTCCCACAAATACCACATATGTATGGTTTTTCACCTGTATGTTTCCAAAAGTGAGTGATAAGAGAACTAGAGACAGCAAATGCCTTCCCACAGGTATCACACACGTAAGGCTTTTCTCCAGTGTGCCTACGGACATGATAGGTCAGTGTGCTGGCTTGGGCAAATCTCTGTCCACACCTATCACAGACATATGGTTTCTCTCCACTATGCTTCCTTGCACGAATCTTGAGATTGCTAGAAGTTGCAAACTGTAAGTTGCATACATCACGTTTATAGGGTTTTTCTTCACCATGATGCATGCGACTATGGAAGACTAGCTGACATTTCTGAGCAAATCCTTTATCACACAATTCACATTTGTATGGCTTCTCACCTGTATGAGTTCTTACATGGGTTTTCAGCTGGTTACACTGGGTAAATGCCTTTCCACATAAGTGGCAGACATAAGGTTTGACTCCTTTATGTATTCTCATGTGCCTTCTCAAGCTGCTGGCTTCTGAAAACACTTTCCCACATGTGTTACACATTGGCTTGGCCTTGGAATACCTCTGATCCAGCTCTTCCCCGAAGTTCTCCACCTCATAAGGACTCCTGACACTGGCTATATTAGACATAGAGTGTTCTTTCAGAGCACAGTTCGGCTGTGATTTTCCACATTTCCGTTTCACTGTAACAGTTTGCACAATATCTTGTGCTGGAAAAGTATTTTCCACAACTGATGTCAACTCGAGTTCTGAATTATCATTTATTTCTGCAACTTGTTCTCCTACAGGTATGGACAGTTTATTTGCACCTAGGAATAATTCAACAGGTGCATTCTCTAAAATATCACTGGGATATTGCACTGTTTTATTCTGCCCTGTTTTTGGGGAGTTGGAAGGCTTCTTCTTCTTTTTTGTTTGAGATGACTTTTTTGCTAATGCCCCTTGTTTAGGATTTGCCTGAACCAAATCTGTAGATACTTCTGATTTCTCTCGATTATTATAATCTCGCAGAGTAAGAAGACAAGTCTGTTGATTCAATTCAATGTTTCCAGTAATACTAGATATCTCTGTCAAGATTTAAAGTTCCTGTGTATATAAACTCCAACAGTTTCTGAAATCCATCAGCCTTCACCTGACTCTGATCAAGAAAGACATTGTTCTCAGAAGTGCTTCTGTAGATCGCACCAAAATACTCCCTAAAGGAGGCCAGCACATTCCTATGAGCTTTAAACTGGAATTCTCCAATCACTATGGTGCAGTCACAAAGAAAACCTGCTTCCCGCTGTTTGTTCAGTCTCTCTAAAAGGTGCTCACAGTGGTGCGAATACTGCATTTTGGTATCAGAATGGAATTTTACCCTTGATCGATAGCAACCCAAGGGGGGAACAGTTTCTTCACTCTCTCTCCGCCATCTTAGGAGGACCAATAATTTTTTTAAAGATTCTTTTTACATTGTTCATTGTGTATAGAAATAAACTAAATTTTATGTGTCAATTATGTGCCCTACAATTTTGCTGTATTATTTACATAGCTTTAGTAGTTCTTGTAGATTCTTTTGGCTTTTCTATGTAGAATTATGTCATCTGCAAATAGAGAAGTTTAGTTTTTCTTGTACAATTTAAATGCCTTTTATTTCTTTCTCTTGCATTATTTTTCTGGCTGGAACTTCAATTTGAAGAGCATTGGGGAAAGCAGGTATCCATATCTTGTTCCTGATTTTAGGCGGAACGCTTTCAGTCATTCACCACTGAGTATGTTAGCTGTATGTTCTTCATAAATGCCTTTTATTATGTTGAAAAAGTTACCTTCTATTTCTAGTGTTCTAAGTAGTTTTATCATGAAAGTGTGCTGAATTTTGTTAAGTACTTTTTCTGAAAAATAGCTCTTCAACAAATGGTGCTGGGGCAACTGGATAACTACATGTAAAACAATAAAGTGTGATTTCTTCCTCACATCATATGCAAAAATTAACTCAAAGAGGATTAAGAACCTAAATGTAAGAGCTGAAACTGTAGAATTCTTAAGAGAAAATTTAAAAGTAATATATTGTCATGATGTTGGATTTGGCAGTCAATTCTTATAAATGGTACCAAAAAAGAAGAAGAAAAAATAGAGAATTGAATGTTATTTTAAATTAGAAACTTTGTACATCAAAGAACATTATTGATAAGGTTTGGCTGTGTCCCCATTCAAATCTCAGCTTGAATTGTGTCTTCCAGAATTCTCATGGTGTGGGAGGGACCTACGGGGAGGTAATGAAATCATGGGGCCCAGTCTTTTCCATGCTATTCTCTTGATAGTGAATACATCTCATTATATCTGATGGATTTATCAGAGGTTTTTGCTTTTGCTTCTTCCTCATTTTCTCTTGTTGCCAGCATATAAGAAGTGCCTTTTGCCTCCCACCATGATTCTGAGGCCTCCACAGCCATGTGGAACTGAAAGTCCAATTAAAACTCTTTTTCTTCTCAGTATTGGGTATGTCTTTATTAGCAGCATGAAAACAGACTAATACAATTATCAAGAAAAAAAGAAAAAAAATCTAAAATCCAAAAGATACTATGAATCAACTGAGATAATCATGTGGTGATTTTTATTTGTTCTATTAATGTGACATATATTATAATTGATTTTCTTACATTGAAACACCCTTTCATTCTTGGAAAGATTCATCTGGTCATGATAAATAATCCTTTCAGGATCAGTTAGATTCAATTTTTTAGTGTCGTTTGGTATATATAAGGATCTGTGGCCTATGGTTTTATGTGTGTGATATATTCGATTTTGGCATTAGAAAAATATTGGTCTCATAGAAATTAGTTAGGAAGTGTTTCTTTCTCTTTTCTTTTTCTATTACAGTCAGGTGTCACTTAACATGAGAATATTTTCGGAGAAATGCATCATTAGGTGATTTTGTTGTTATTCAAATATCATAAAGAATAAATACACAAACCTAGATGACATAATCTACTATAAACTAGGCTATATGGTGCAGTCTATTGGCCCTAAGCTAAAACCCATGAATACGTTACTGTGCTGAATACTATAGGTAACTGTAACACTATAGTAATTGTTTATGTATTTAAATATATCTAAACATAAAAAAACAAAGAAACATGTCACTGACAAGAGAACACAATAATATTTTAAAAACTGACTCCAAAGAAATGGAAATCTATGAGGCACATGACAAATAATTCAAAATTACTATAAGGTAACTCAACAAGCTGCAAGAAAACACTGACAATTAAATTAAGAAAACAAAATACAAGCAAAGCTATAAAATCAACAGAGAGAAAAGAAAAGCAACAAACAAAAATTTTAGAGTTAAAGGATGCAGAAAATAAAATTTTAAAAATGCAACAGAGAGCATCATCAGCAGATTAGATCAAGCAGAAGAAAGAATATGTGAAGTAAAAGACAGCGAATGTGAAAATATCCAGTCAGAGGGAAAAAAACAAAAGAACAATGAAAAGGAATAAAGAAGGCCTGTGGAGTGTATGAAGCACCATTCAAATAACTAACATTTATATTATAGGAATTTCAGAAGGAGAAGAGAATAAACAAAAAGCTAATCCTTTACCTGGCAGAGTTATCCTGTAGAATGAAGGAACAATAAAGAATTTTCCAGATAAACAAAAACTAAGAGAGTTCATCACCAATAGACCTACTTTACAAGAAATGCTACAGGGAATTATTCAAGCTGAAATTAAAGGATAATAGTTAGTAATATAAAAACATATGAAAGTATACAACTCACTGGCAAAATGATTACTCAAATTCAGAATACCCCAATACTGTAATAGTGGTATATAAATTACTTATATCTCTAGAATAAAGGTTAACAGACAAAACTATTAAAATAACTATACCTAAAATAATTTGTTAATAGATACACAATATAAAAATATATAAACTGTAAAACATAAAAATATTTAAACTGTAAAACATAAAATATGGGGGTAGAATAAAAAATGTATCATAGAGTTTTGAGTGAAATTGAAATTATCACTCTTGCATGTACAGACATAGGCCTCAAATAATCTTATCACTTATGTTCCAAATAGCATCTCTGTAGTCTCATATACTTATGGCAAGAAATTAACACAAAAGTAAAATATTTAATTAGTTCCATAGCTTAAATAAGTTTTCCTTAAAGAGTGACACCTACACCAACAACATCACTATCATTTCAGAACTTGTCAGAAATGCAATTCCAGGATACTATTCCTAACCTATAGAATCAGAAACACAAGAATCTGTGTTTGAACAAGCCCTCCTGGCAATTCTGATGCCACTAACATATAAGAAGTGCTAGGAGTTCTGTCATTTACGCAATATGACTATTTGAATTAAGCATTCTAGAATTGTGGAAATAACCACGGGATGGAGGTAGGGGTACACTCAGCCTACTCTGGAGTGGATGTAAGCCAAACCCCACTGATCACCTGACTTCTACAAGCCCCTACTCTGACTGGTGCACCTGGAAAAGCCACAGACACTCAATGTCAGCCCATGAAAGCATTGGAAAGGGGACTGTACCCTGCAGTGCCACAGGGGTGACCACATTGACTTTTGGTTCTCTTGGAATTAGTCTCAATTCAGAGCCACTGTTCAGTAATCTTCAAAAGGTCTAATTATTTCCTTTTCTCTGATGCACAGTGCACCTGGAGAATGATGGCATTTCAAGCACTCAGTGCTGGCTTCTGCTGCTGGCAGAATTGGGCAATCATCAGTGGCTGTGGCCAGGCTGACCTTGGTGAGTGGGGCTCCATGTTGCTTCCAGTGACTATACACTTTGAATATTTGAAATGTTAATATCTAGTATAGAATTGGATTTCTTATATATGAATATGCTGAGCAACTTTTTTTTCAATTGATTTCTTTTTCAAGCTTCCTTCCCTTTTTAACCTGTCTCATCTAGCAAGTGTTTTTTCTAAGATGGCTGTTGTCCAACATCTGGTTCTGAAAGGAAACTACAGAAATCCATCAAAACACATTTGCTTGATTCCTGTGGGTTTTTGGGTGGAGAATAAATTTAAACTCTGTGTGAACCTAATGAGGATAAAATAAGCAAGGACAGAGGAATGAAACATTAGATTGAGACTGTAGAAAACCAAAACTATCAGGTTTATGCCCCAAGCCTTTCCTCTGTGATAGCAATATGGTCGGGTCCAAAGGAACTGGCCTGCTACAAAACCTATCTTGCACTGCAGATATAGGGTATTCATTATGTCATTGAGATCCTGTAGGTATCATTCATGTCTTCCTTTTGCCACTTTGGGCAGGGAGATCTGCATAATTATGAACGGATGTAATCCTAGCCACTGTATATAGTTTACAAACAAGACTCTCCCTTACAATCGATGCTTACTGCACAATAGGACAGAATTGAACAGAAGCTGGACTTTAAAATAGAAGTGTGACAAATTTGTCAACAAAGTTACAGGATATTCTATCAAGGATGTAAATTATAGAATCTTATTATCCTATACACACTAATATTTCATTCCAGATGTTCTGCTACTAAGAACGTGTATATAAGAATCATAAACCTGAAAAAAATGAGAGAATGGAAATAAAGAAATCCATTACTTGATGCTTGATGTAAGTTACTTATGCTTTCCAAATGCTACAATATAACGAGTGTTTAGTAATAGACAGCAAGCTCCATGTCCAGAATAAAGAAGGAACACTTTATATTTTTTAAGTCATCACTTTATGTGGCAGACTTTGTGAATCATATTTTGTTGATGCCAACAGTTGTAAAACATCCTTTGTTTCCTCTACCTCTGGGCAGAAGAAAAAGGGTGCCAATTAAGTTATATATTATATTTAAAAAGCTGTTTTAGACATATTTAGGCCTGGATTCTTATCACTTTATAGGCAATGAGAAAGTGTTATAATTTTTAATTCTATTAACCCCCCACTAGCTTTTTATGTTATTGCCGTGCATTTTAATTCAACATATATTGAATTACATTGAATTAAAACCATTTGACATTTGCCGAATAGTAAAATTTTTTAATGTATCCATGTATTTACCAACATCACTGATTTACTTTTTCCTCCTCCATTTCTGTATTTCTTTCTTGATCATTTTCCTTCTACCTAAAGAATTCTGTAGTACCTACTGGAATATTTGTCAATGATGAAACCTCTCAGGCTTATTTTGTCTAGAAATATCTTTATTTCACCTTCAATTCTGGAGTATATTTTAGGTTGGCAGAGAATTCTAAATTGGCAGTAATCTTATCATTAAAGATGTCATTATATTGTTTTCTGGCTTCCATAATTTGTTTTAGGAAATTAGCTATTTACCTTCTTGTAGCTGGTTTGAAGGTAATGTGTATTTTCAACACTGTATTACTGTTTTGATTCCTTCAGTTTGACTCTGATGTGCCAAAGCGTGGTTTCACTGTATTTACCCAGCTGGGGTT